CTTATCGGCCAATAGGGCCAGATAGCTAAAAAACCACCAACCCGTAATTGTACTTGCAAAGACCTTCAGTTTGACATGTTTTGATTACATAAATTTTTTGACCCCTTCCTCATTTCCATTAGACCCTAAAAGGGTCTCAATTTCTGAAGTAACTGCAGGGTTTCACAAGGAGAACTTTTTACATGGTGATTAGGGGCCCAAAGCCTGCACAATTGTACATAGAACAAGTAGACCCGCCAATACTGGAATGAACCAGGTAGATACAGTGCACAGGCAATGGCCTATATGGGGAATGAGGAGTCTTGCTAAACTGTCTTTGTTTGTCCTGCTTCATTGAAAACTCCCAAAAGAAACTTCCTGTCGGTGAATAGTCTGTCAGGAATAGTGGTCACAGAGTCACTTCCGTTGTGGCTTTTGCTTTCTTGTTGTGAACTTTTGCTTTTGTGTTGTGAACTTTTGCATTCGTGTTGTGGCATTTGTGTTTTTTGTAAACTTTTGCATTCGTGTTGTGGCATTTGCATTCGTGTTGCAAACTTCTGCTTTCATGTTGCGGCATTTGTGTTTGTTGTTAACTTTTGCGTTTGTGTTGTGGCGTTTGCATTTGTTGTGACCTGTGTCAGCCACCGTACTATTCTCCATTTGGAGTTGTTTTGGGCTGTTGAAACACGTTTGCCCTCGTCAACCACCGTAAATATTTACAGTGAAATGGCACAAAATGGCCGCAGATTAGCAAGCAAGCTTTTCGGCAGGCTACCACCCCTTATTGACAGCTATGTTTATTTTTAGGTTCAACCTACAATGATACGAGTTTGACTGCCAAATTAAAGACCTGCAGCGACAAAAAATCGTACAAACAAATAAACACTTCATTCTCTCCCCACCGCGAATGTAGCCACAAAGCACATACAATCGGAGCAGTAATACTTACACAACAATTTCTATATATGTTTAAAAAAGCAAAAAAGTCCTCCTCCTAAAGAACATGATCTACACTTTCCCACCCTTGGAACAAGAAAATAAAGCAATCATTCGGCCTGCGTCTGGGCGATAATATAAGCCCTGAAAACACCACTTGAGTTTGTTTATCCCGCATACATCCCAGCAGGCCGTGCGTGCCCAAGATGTTGATCTCGTCTATTCTACCATGATTCTAAGAGCTTTATGAGCAGCTGCCTGACAAAGTTCCTGTTCATCCCTTAGCTTTAACAAATCTTTTTTTTAGTTACTGTTTTTAAGTGTTTGGAATCCGTTGCCATAATTTCTGACCCTATCGCCTTGACCACCATAAATAATTTTGCTGTTTTATGACCGACACACCCAAAATTTGGGCTGCTCTTTGGAAATCTCCAAGTATCCTCATCTTGCTTTTAAAACTTACCCAACTAAGTGCTGCTGGTTAGACCTCTTCAAGGCAGATACATACTTCGAAGACTTCCAAGTTACAGCAGTTTTTATTTTTTTACCCATCCGCGATACATGTGTTCCTTCATCTTCTGAGCACTTACCATACCATCCTTCCTCCACCCACATCTCACCCTCTCCCTCCTCCCTGAGTCAGCCCCCCCGACAGCTCCACCATAACTCCCCCAAACACCCTCTACACCCCCCCCACAAATTATTGTGTTAGTCCGTCTATAAGCGGACTTTTAAAATACATGTAAACATGTTAGTCCGACTGAAATCGTGCCAAATCGAATTTTTCATAGCCCAACTAACACATAATGCGGTTAATAGTCGCATTATTTCTCCATGTATATGCTTTAATCGAACCAAACTGGTCTATGCGCTCTGAGCATACTCCACATTCTTTGTGCAGGGCTTTGACCCAGACGTCTTGTGGACATGTAAACACCAAACTGCTTAGGGACAACTCTGAGCTCTGCCCAACAAGCCTTTTTGTAATGAACATTAACAATCCTCATCTGCAAGGGTATTGGTGCTTGAACAGTCATGCCTTGGGGTCTATTAAGAGCCATATTCTGAGAGAATGGCACTTTTGAGATACTTAGTGGAGTTGACATCTCAGAATTGCATGAAATTTGGCAGAATGGTGCCCATATACATGTAACAGCAAATCCCGGAGTTTGAGCTCACAATTTTTATTGATATGGCAGGTACCAAATTGAGCATTTTTGAGGGAAAAAAACCCATTTTTGAAGGAATTTGCAGAAAACTGCTTCAATTTGCCAAATAAGTTATGATTGTACTTGATACTGGGATACCCAAATTTTTAAACTGTGAAAGTGCCACCTGGTGATCATGTAGGTTATACGTGCAATGACAAGAAATCTGTGAACTACGGGAAAAAAATATTTTTCCAAATTCAGGCTTATTTTAATTTTTAAACCAGACCAGTGCCAAATTCATCTTATCTGTTTCCTTTTCAGACATTAAAGGTGAGAAAAATTTTGAGGCATTTAGTTTGGCACTTTTTTGGTTTTTTGAGATGTTTGCTCCCAAAGTTAGGTGCGGGCAAATTTTTTCCTGTTTGTACAGTGGATTAACATCAATAACCAGACACCTGTGAGGTCATTAATTTATACCTTCCTTTGGGCAAAACAAAGGACACCAGAAACGCCTTTGGCACTATGCTCCATCTTGGAGCAGCGGCTACAGACATTTTGACAAGATCTCCAATTCGCCTCTTTGCAGTGATGTTCAGGGGCTCATAAAAATGTTAACTAAGAAGATAGAGCCTTGAAATTAGCTGAGTCTCCAGCCCTTTAAGGATATTGGCGCTGTTACCAATATGTCAGATCTGACAAAATCAAACGTGCCATGGAGAAGTTTCTTGAAATGGAGTATGTGTCTTATGTAAATTGTGAAAACACTGATTTTGTTTTGGCACTATATTGGTTTAACTAGTAATGCCAAAAGGTGGCGCCCCACCGTACCACCTTATTCAGATCTCGCAAAACCAGACATGAGCCATAGAGAAATCTCTTGAATGAAATATGTGTAATGTATACATAGCGAAAACACTGATTTTGCTTTGGCAATTGGTTGGTATAACTAGTTACAGAGATAGGTGGTGCCCATAGAGGTACAAAAAAAGAGGTATGTAAAAAAATCAGTCAATTCTAGACACCAGTAGGGGTAAAAATTAACAGTCACTTAATACTTCAGAATACAAGCCTTTTCCCTGCTATCCCTTGAGATTTCAACTTTTTACTTGCATTCAAGAAGTACTAAGTGACTGCACAATGTTAATTGTTATCCCTACTGGTGTCTAGAATTGACAGATTTTTTACATATATCACAACCAACAGACTCAAATCTCACAAATTTCTCTGTCATAGTTTTTGTCCCAAAATACTATCCAAATGTACCAAAATAATATGTTGCTTACCTCTGTTTGAAACCTTAAAATTGATCTTGCACCAGTACCTATGGGCACCACCCATATCAGATACAACTGTAACTTCTTTGGCACAATGAATCAGTTAACCACAATATTCCATCAAAAATGGGTATTTTTCCTCAAAAATGGTACCTGGCTTTTCCACTTCTAGGAGGCACTGTAGCCATATCGATAAAAATTGCGAGCTCAAACTCCGGGATTTCCCATTACACATGTATGGGCACCATTCTGCCAAATTGCATGCAATTCTGAGATGTCAACTCCACTGCCAGTGCCACTCTCTCAAAATATGGCTCTTAACTTCTACCACTAATCTGCATGATTTATCGAATGACTTGCGTGTCATCCAAAAATTTTCCTTCCACTCGCCATCAGAAAAATGACACTCTCCCACTCATCATTACTCCTGACCCACATCCAACATGCACGGGAGGCCCGGGAGTGCATTTCCCGAAAGCACAGATGCTAACTTGCATAGTTGGAACCACAGACTGTGAATGGACAAAATAGTTGCTAGCAACTACGCCTCTGGAAAACACCTTCCGGGGTAGTAGAAAGGGCACAAAGTAGAGAATAGCGGCGTTTAAGCCTAGCTTCGGCTAACGCCATAACCACCAGGGATAGCGTGTATCTCAATTGTACGAAAAGCGTAGCATACAGCCCGTATTAAACGTACAGAGCCGTAAAGTTGTCCATGTTCTCGCCACTCGACCTTATACAGTCAATGCACTCGACATGCTACTAGTTTGCCACCAGCTAACTTGTTTGTCGAATGTTTGGTCTGTGACGTAATAGGTCAACTAGAAAAAGGTCCAACATGAACAAGCTGAAAGGGGGTATATCGCCACATATCATAGCGGAGATGGACATGTTTCGGTCAATAAGTCGAATTTCGTCCTGTGCACATATACTGGGACAAGGAGAGTAGTCTGATTAGATGGCCTAATTGAGTTATTACCGTAGCTCGATTTAACTGTGCATGTAAACGTACTGACTCACCCACTTTATAGTGCACACACCCCTCCATCTCTCCCACTGTTGTCCAGCCCTGCTTCTTCTCCATATCGGGGTCGATCGGCAGTATTTTGTTCCTCAGCCACGACAGGTAGTACACCCTCACCTTGTTCTTTTTGCCTGAAGGAATGTCGAGGACATTTTAATCACCGCTCAGAAACAAAATGTAAGGAACACTGCAGTTATATGAAAACAAAATGGCAGCAGATGGTAGTGAGTGATTGCAAGTCAGAGCTTCGCGCATGGATCGCAAGACGTCCGTTTGCGCTTTGAGATACAAAATCACAGACATGCTCCCAGAATATTCTAAACAGAACATTGGATGAAAAAAAGTCATTCAGACTGCAACGCAATAACCAAAACAATGGCGTAACAGCATACGGAGTTGGAATTCCTGAAAAAACTATTCAAAAATACAACAGAGCCAACAATGTGGACAAGATGATGCTGAGAACATATGCAGCTCAACTTATGTAATGACATCTCTGACATGCCCTCAGAATATTCTCAATAAAATATTAAGTTAAAAAAAAAAACCTTTAAATGGTGATACAGTAATTACCCTCGGTAGCTAAAACAAATTGCCAGTTTATACCGACACTGCTCAAGACCGGATCAGAAAATCTGAACCAGAGCGAGAATCGAACTCATGACTTAGGGATTCCATCCCACTGCTCTAAGGACTGAGCTACCAAGTCCACTTCGAAATAGTTTGTAAATTTGATCTCTCAAGACAGCAATGCACGTGAAAAATTGTCACAATGAACATTTGGAAGATCAATCAGTTTTCTGAAGACCCAGTGTTTCGACTGCATATTGGAGTCATCTCTGGGAATGATAAATTGCCAAAAGAAATGAGTTCAAAAATACAGAGCTCAGATTCTGGAGGAAAAGAGGAAAAAAACACAACTATTTTGAAAATACAGCACAAATAACAATCCCAAGTGGACGAGGTACTGCCAAACAGGACACAGGGCTCATCTGTTTAAGGTAAAGTAAATGAGCAGTGGCTCCTGTGTGGACAGAACTGCAGGGCAGCAGTAGTAATGATGTCACAGGAACCTGAGATGGTGATGAGAAGGTTGAGACCCTCCAGAACGTCCATTTGCTGGAAGCGGCGAGAGTTAATGAGAGGGTACACCTTCCCCTGACCGCTGCGGTCCAGCAGCTTCAGGCCATTCTCTGTGCCGACCAGCAGGTTCACCCCTGAGGGACACACACACACACACACACACACACACACACACACACACAGAGCACAAATAAACCCACTGTACAAGCAGTGTGTATACGCTCCATACACTGACAGCCAGGAAACATAACCCCGCTAAACTCTAAAATGCTACACTAATTTGTAGTGTGTTGACAGACAGAATTGTAAGCAGAACAGGTTAAAGACGCAAAGAAATTGCTATAACTTCCGATATAATAGATAGAGCTCTCAATAAAATCTGAAATAACTGAACCTTTAATTGCTACCGTTATTGTTAATTGTCAATTTTTAACCTTTAGAGCACTAAATGCAGCTATTGTTGTTCAATGATGTAAGATACCAAAATCACAGCTGTTGAAAACCCATCATGTGGTGAATTATTTAACAAGTCGCCACATGATAGGTTTTCAACAGCACAAGATAATTAACTTATACAAAAGTATTTAAAAAAATTTATTTCAGCGCTCTAAGGGTTAATGGTAAACAGGATGCGACACGCTTTATGGGTGCAGAAAATGAGAAATAATTTCCCCCATGAACATGAAGAGCCATGCCAAGCACAATCATAATATTCCAATCAACACTGAAAATAAAATGCATTAGATGACTGTCGTTACTACAGTAACGTAGCGCATTTGAGGTTGCGCCATGAGCACTTTATCACTCCCCAGTATTTCCCAAAACTCCCATTTTCGCCGTGTACCGTCGACAGCGACCCACGTCAGCACAGCACGCCCAACACCAGCCCGAAGGATAAGACACGGAGGACGGCGAGAACGCGCTACAAAAGTGGTGACGTCATTTTGAGGTCAACTTGGCGCAGCCATGGCACCCGGTTCACTCCGAGCGAACCAAACCATAACCAAACAACTTGCACAGAGTCCATCTCCATGGCCCTCGTGCCTTCGGATGGAATTAAGTTTTAATTTCAGTGATCTTAAGCCCAAACTATGCTCATTACAAAAGAAAAGAAATTATTTCTCACAAGATTTTCGATCGTCAAATATTTAGGTATTTTGTGCCGTGTGTTAAGTGTACGAGTGAATGTCTAGCTATGCTGTGAGCGTGAACCATCAGTGAGCGTTGACCCCAGCAAAAGTGACATCACACTTTTTCAGCGCATCCCTCCCGAACATGACGCTTCCCGGCTCACCCCAGAGTGCCGCGCACAGGATCTCCGAGTTGAAGCGCTTCTTGTACTTGCGGATTTCGGGGGTGTCGCTGTGGGGGCGGGTGTTGGCCGGGTTTACATTCACTATGGAGCCCTTGCGTCCGTCCGGCCGTCTCTGCTGCTCGAACCTGGAGGCGAAAGCTGAGAGAGGACATCGGTCACCTCAACATCACGAAGAATACAAACCCAACAACAAAGGGATGTGATGAAGGGGGGAAGCAGTTACATGTACAGTGCTTAACAAATTTATTAGACCTCCACCCAATGTAAGGTTTATGCCACAGCTGCCCTAAATTAACGGAGCTGGTAATTACCAAAATCATTTTTATGTTTCTGTAATGGTTAATCCACCAGTATGTCCAAGCTCTTTAACTAAAATGATATTTTTAATGCTAAAATATAATTTTATATTTTAATATAAATAAATTCATAATATGAATTTTCGAATTTACCATTTTACAAAAAAGCAGAAAAAATAGTTAAGCATATTATTATTTTTTGATTAAGATCCCAAATAATAGTAATTTTCTTGCATTCCTGAACATAAATTAGTTTTAGTGGTTGAATGCAAGAATGCAAGCTGTTATCAAGGCCAAAGGAGGCCATACAAAATACAGTTTTATTTGGTTTTTATGTGTGAATAAGGATTATTCAGCAGTTTCAGTTTGTTATTTGCCAAAGAAATAACAAAACAATTTTTTGTTTTAAACAAGTTTTTGACAAATTTCTTAAATATTTGTGTTTTCTCATTTTTTTTATGACAGGTGGTCTAGTAAATTTGCTGAGCGCTGTATTTTAATTAATTTCCTTGCATTTTGCTTGTCGAGAAACTAAAAGAACGGAGTTAAAAAAAAATTGACCAAAATGACCAAAGCAAGGCAACACTCAAATGCTCTTAAATGCTCCATTTGCACAAAAAAAAAAATCCAGGAAAACTCCCCTCCAGAGCCTGAACTTAAAGAGCTCTACCAAAAACACTTCTGTTTGTTATGAGAAAACTAAACACCGCAAAAAAAAAAGAAATGGACAAAGGGCAGGCGTAGCCTTAGAGAAACTGATCGAAAGAGAGATGGAGGTGTGCAAGACACTGGACAGTATAAGTAAAACCCATCTTGATAATGAAGTGATTGTACTCAGACACACCAACGTAAGCAGACACATGACTGTGGGGTTGAATACAGAGCTGAGAGCAGCTCGGAGCTCTTGGACCAGACCCAGCTCGCTTACGCCAGTGCGGCAATCTCGCTGTGCTGTGCGCTCTGAGTCATGCGATGAGACTCACCCGCAGCTGCGATGGACTCTTCCGGAACCCCGTGCTGGTACATCCCCAGGTCCACGAAAGTGGTGAAGGAGCCTTTGCCAGAGGTTTTTATCAATCCCTGGGACTGGTACTGAAATCAGGACAATTAGCATTTCTGGGCCACTTCAACACAAGCCATATCAATGGGCAATGGCCTCATGCAAGACGGGCGTAAGTGACATTTCACAATTTTTTGTGGAGAGCCAAAAAACTGCCACAGCATCACCTGTTAAAAAATTTGCCTGCAGATACGACTTTTTAAAAATGCATTTTAACCCCTTTAGGATAGGAATTGAGACACCAGACTTGGTCAGGAGATGGGCTAGTCTCAGTTATTGCAAAACAACCAAAAAAGTCATTCTTGCGTGAGGCCATTGCATTTTTTCCCATGATGATTTATGCAAATAAACCGGCATGTTAATATTTGCAAGCATTTGTATTCGTTTGTGTGACCTGTGTGTAAATGAAGATTTCTGCACAACACATTTAACCAACTCTGGCACCATCTTCTTAGTCTGGTTTTACACTAGAAGCTGTAAAGAAGCAACTGATTTACTACTAAAGGAAAAAAAAAGAAAAGACAGACAAGAGCAAACAGAGGGAGAGAGAAACTGATGTAGACAGATAACAAGATTAAGGGAAAGAGAAAGATAAAATAAGCCAGTAAGAGACTGCAAAAGTCCCCCAAATATGTTCTGATGTGCACGCACACACACACACACACCCCCACCCGGACAGTCAGACACGGCCTAAATCAGTACCCCACCCTACCAGTCGAGAGTCAGGGTACTAAAAAAGCACCTGTAAACTGCCAGCGCAAATAGTTTGGGATATATTTTCAGGAAGCAAACTGAGGTCAAGTCAGGTCAAAGGTCAAAAGTCACAAAAAAGCCTTGTAGACATGGTAGGTCAATTTTAATACAAGCACTGGGTTCCTTGACCCAAACTTAGCAGTTGTTGAAGAGCTACTTTGATCTGATAATTTTTAAGAAAGTTGAAAATCACAGCAACAAGTCAAGGTTTTAGTCCTATGTTCTATTTTTAGCACCAGCGGCCATGTTATTCAGACAGCGGGCATAATCGACACAATTTTGAAAGTAGACATCCTAAGGATGCTTGTGGCTAATTTTAGTCTGGATCTGTTCGGTAGTTTCAGAGGAGAAGATTTTTGTAAAAATGTTAACGACAGACGCCAAGTGATGGCAATAGCTCATGTGGACCTTTGGTCCAGGTGAGCTAATAAAGGTCATAATGCAAGTGTAAAATGGAAATCTGCCACATATAGTTTCAGAGAAATTGATCCTGACGGACACACGGACACAGATAATTTAAGACATCAATAGTACCCAGACCAACCCAAAAAAAAAAACCCATCAGAAAACAGAGCAAGAGAGACAGAGACGAAGAGATAGAGAGAGCGAGAAACAGATGGATAAGAAAGAGAGCGAGAGAGAGAGACAGAGAGAGGTTCCTTACTTCGTAGGCGTTGTCGGTCCCGGGTGAAGAGTGCGATGCTGATTCGCTGGGGGAGTGGGAGGGCTGCACCACGTCCGGCAGGTTTGTGTAGCCGTTATGGCCGCGATTCTCTGGGGTCTGTATAACCACAGAGGCACAACCAGCATTCACTAAATATCACATTTATTCTTGAGTAAGTACAGTCATACAAATTCCTTCGAGCCAGACTCGTTCCTTTTAGACAAAATGGAGGGTCCTGTGGCGGGTACCCTTTACTCGCATTTCTAATGGATTTGACCGCTCAAGGATGGCAATTGCGCAACTTCAAGTTTCTAAAGGGATTCCTCAGAGAGGAAGTTAGCAAGAGGAACTGGGGGAGGGCATTCATTTCATCAGAGTGGACTGGGACCAGTGTCTACAACATCATACAGGGCGAAGACAAAGGAAGCACTATTTGAGCATCATAGACAACCAGCCCACAGCTGCAGCCAGGTCACATTCACAGAAGACAATAGCCTCATGCAGTATATCACAGGGAGTGATTAGAGATGCCTGCTAC